GACGCGGACGGGGGCGCCGCGCTCTGTCCGCACGGTGCCCGAGCATGGCCAGCACCCGCGCGTGATCGCCAAGCCGGGCGCCGCCGACGCCACCGTGTACATTGTCCTTCGCCCGAGCCCAGCTTTTAGTGCGCGCAACTCCTTCGGCCCCGGCGACCGCGCGCAGCGATGCCCCGAGCGACGGCACTCGGGCCCCTGGTGTCACTGCTGCTGCTCCCGCCGCTGCCCCGCGGCGCCCAGGGGCTCGGGGAGCACACGGACGCCGCCTCGCACTCCTCGGCGCTGGAAGGCGGAGAGAGCGTGGAGCCGCAGCTGGTTTACCACGACCCCTGCAAAGCCGGTAGGTGCCGCCTCCGCGCCCGGGAAGTCCGGCAGAAGTTTGCCTTTGAAATGCAAATTAGGGTGGCCAGCCTGCGCTCTGCCTGCCTGGGACGGGGCTCCGCTCTCCTCCCTGAGGTCCCTCGGCTCCCCCAGAAAACAATGCCCCCAAGGAATCGCTTCCAAACCACCCCGGGTCTCAGGTTTGCAGAGCGCAGAGGGTGCGGCCGCAGGAGCGTTCCTAAAGCGATTCGATTCGCCGTGGGTGCCCGAGACCGAGAGGGCGCCCAGGGCCGCGGTGCGTGTCGGGGCCTCCTGACAGCCGGTGGTCAGCAGGGCCACCGCCGGACGCTCTGGCCGGAGGAGCCGCGGGCCGGGCGGCGCTCCCGGGCTCGGATGGGGCTGCTGGCTCTGCTTTCACCGCGTTCCTAAGTTTCTCGCAAAGTTTCCCAAGATCTTGGGCAGCGATTTATAAAAGAAGGAAGGAAAGCTTCACCGCAGGGAAAAGGAAAGAAGCTGCGGCCGGAGGGGACTGTGCAGGACTCGAATTGCTACAGACTTGTCGCGGCCCCTTCCCCTTAGGCGTCGTCCGTGCCAGGGGCGCACCCAGGGCAGGCGGAGATGGAAGCGGGCAGGTGCTCTCTTCTCGCCCAGGAGCAGAGCCCCGGAACGGCGTGGGCGCGGTGGCTTCTGCTTCCAGGGCTCACCAACCTGCCAGGGCTCCAATGGTGGGGCATCCCTGCGGGGTCACTGAGGCGCGAACCCCCGGGGCTCCAGAGCACGCCCCATCGAGCGACGGGATGGATCAGGCACTTCCCAGCTGGGACGGGCGCTCTCGCTCCCTGGGAAACCGCGGGCTCAGAGGCCGGCACAGCTCCTGGCCGATGGGAAACCGCGGGCTCAGAGGCCGGCTCAGCTCCTGGCCGATGGCCAGTGGCCCGCGGGGAGTGGTTTTATCCCTGGGCATTGTCCCGCGCAGTCCCACTTGGCAGCCGCAGAGATGAGCGCAAAGGGGGACAGCGGCCTGCCAGGTCTGGGCCAGTGTCCTGGGCCCCTGGGTTGCCTTCCTTCGCTCACAGCAGCCTCAGTTTCCTCATCCCTAAATTGGGCACATCATTATAGGACTCAGACTTACCGGAAAATTCTCTGTAAATGCACCAAGGACCAAGGCTTCTTTTCTTTTCGTTTCTTTTTTTTTTTCTTCTTCTTTTATTGGTACTGTGGTGGCTCTGCTGTAGGCTGCGGTTGGTGGATCATAAGTGGATCCCAGATTCCTAGAACGCTGGAGGACCTGGGGTGTGTGAGACCCGAGGATCTCCTTAAGATGGCAGAGCGGACCAAGCTTGGGGGAC